GGGAGCCCGATGCGGGACTCGATCCAGGGACTCCAGGATCATGACCTGAGCCGAAGGCAGTCGCTTAACCAACTGAGCCACCCAGGCGCCCCTTATATTTAAGTTTAACTGAAATTAGAAAATTGCCCTCTAATGGTTAGATTAATAAGGAAAATTATATCCTAAGTCAATTTGGATTAAGAATTTTATTGGTTCCCAAATAATAAATCAGAGCTTGAGGTGAAGAACCTTTATACAGTCTGGCTCTTGTTTCCCTTACCCATAAATCCCAGAAGATAGATAGAAAGATGACTGTATTTGTATAGGTGTTAAAAAAATCCTCACAATGGACCACAGTTTTCCCTCATTTATCCACATGTAGCTCTCACAGAAATAGCCATTGGTATAAGCATGTGACCATAGCTAACAGCAAAAGCTCTAAGAAAACCATCCTTTTTCTTTCTTTTTTTTCTTTTCACCAATCATTCTCATGACTGACTACTAATCACATTGGTTTATAAGTAGTCCATCAACAAATAATAAAAAATAGTATTTATTTTAATCCTATTTTAACTCCTTGTGAGACTCCGATGTTGATAGAGTAATTACAGAGTGACAGACACAAAAGGAACATGGATGGGTACAAAACAGCTAGGTTACTTTGCATTATAACCTCAAGGTGGGGAAGTAGTACCCATAGCAGGGAATGGGTGAATATCTTATCAGCATAAGAAGTGGGTGCACACATGAATGCGAAGGCAGAAGAAAAAATTTGTGGGAAATTTTTATCATACTAGGTAAGCACCGAAGCAGTGCATATACCAGGGGTTCTTAGGTTAATACAGAAGAATATGGATAATAATTTTTGGTGAGTAAAATGGCTGAGAAGGAGTGGAACATTTGATCTAATAAAGTGTGAAAATGGCAGATGGAATAAAAGGATGAATTGGAAAATTTTTACCTTTTATTTTCAATTGGCTTAAAAGAAAACTACTCATTATTTATCTAATTTTCTCCTAACTTTGGCAAGCCCCATTACCTAGAAAACATATATCTGCTTTCCCTTATACAGTGGAATATATATCTATTTTCCCTTGGACTGTGAGATGGAGATTACCATCATATAATATGTAACACGGTAGTGTGATGATTAGTGTCCATTGCCCTGAATGAGGAAAATAATTCATGAAAATAGCTGTTGTCATAAAGGAAGTAATATATGTTGGTCAACAATGAAACAACAAATGAAAATTTAATTCTTAAATCATTCAGTGGTTTGGGGTCATTTAATTTTTTGTGTTCCTCAGTTTCCACAAAAAGTAAATAGTATTAGGTGTACTATCCATCTTCACACCTTATTATGGGCATTAATTTTAATGAGAGCTTTTATTAAATGCAGTTAAATACCATCAATCTCTATTAAAATATATTTTATTATATTAAATTATCTCAAAATGGAATTTTTATTTTAGGCATGAAGTGACCATTGTGCCTATAATGTTTTGTTGAGAAAGATAGTTTGTATCTCAGTGGGGTTCAAGGATGGAGAATGTATTGATAAATTGTGTTTCACCAGCAGTAAGAGGTAGAGTAAAATATTGGCTATTTCTGAGCCAAATAACCAACTTGTTTTCCTGATCTTAATCAAGCCTTTACATCTGCAGTAATTGTTGGCAATTTCTCCCTTTTCAAAAAATTAATCCTACTTTGTGGCAGTTATCAATTTGCTGCCTTTCATCTCATTTCCTGCTTTATTAAACTGGAGCTTAACCCCTGAACAAGTTGGACTTAGAAGAAACTGTAAAAACTCAAAGCCTCCCTGTGCCATTTAAGTAGCCTGACCACCTGTGCCTGAGGAAATGAGCCTTCCTTTTCTTAAAAACTTTGATAATCTCCCAGGGGGCAGACACTTGAAAGGAGGGCACTGATTCTTCTTGCTACTTGACCCAGGAATAAAGTCAGATCTCAACATGAAAGTAAAGAAATGGCTCCAGGAAGACAATCCTGTAAACCTCTTCAGAGTGATACATTATCTCTAGCTTCCAAAGCCTTTGTTAGTCAAACATCCTCTTTACTTAGAAAGCCTGGATTATGTAAAAGCATGAAAATATTCACAGAGAATATCTTTCAACAATTTACTATGAAGAACAGCAAGGACATATTTGGCCCATAGGGATTTCTGGTAGCACCTCATCGATCTTGACCTCCCAAGAAATCAAATAGATGGAGAGCATACTAGAATATTGCATGACTTATATAAAAGAGAGAAAAAAAACACCTTCTAGATCTGGTGACCACAAATCTGACTTGAATCAGTACGAGGAAAAATCATGGCCTTGAACCCAGTTTCTAGACTAAAGCCAGGTCACCAACACCTTGATTGAAGGGGAGGCTGGTCTTGCCTGAGACATGAGATAACCATGCAGCCTGAGTTTTCCGTGTCTGATCCATTTATTCTAAAGTTGGACGTGTGCAGCAATTATCATCAAGTAGAAATAATAAAATGGGTTGGGAAAGGCCAGAAGATACAAATAATTTGCATAAGCAAATGTCTCAGTCTTTTTTTGAAAATGATTTCTTCTTCATTGCCTCCTTTCCACAATTATTGCCTCATACAACCAGTTGACTAGAAATAAAACACCGGAGCCTGGTTTACATCTGGGTCTGTAAGATATGCTGGTCCTACCTGAAAGTGCAGTACCTGAAAGTACAGTTGCAGCATTGCATCCCCATCTCCCACTCAAAGTGACCGCAAATATCGAGTACTTACTCTTAATCCAGGGTAGCCCATGTTAAGTATCTGGAATTCACTCTACACTGGCACCGTCTAATATCAATGCTTTCTAAAATGGTAGCTGCTAACCACATAGGACTGCTGAACACTTGAAATGTGGCTAATGCTACTGAGGAACTGAACTTTTACATTTTCTTAATGTTAACGAATATAAACTTAAGTATGTATAGCCATGTGTGGCTAGAGGACATGTTTTTGGACGGTGTAGTGCGAGACAAATTTTGTTTTATTTGCCAGACACATAGATTAGATATTAATATCTGTTATCTCTTTAATATCTTCCAAATCAGCCCTCTCCTTCTTATACTGATGGTGACCCCCTTTCATTAATTTTTTTCACCTGTATTGTTGCACCATCTTCCTATATGATCCTGTCATTGCACCCCACCCTAAAGAATCTAAGGTGTTTGTAAAAGATAAAACTTAGTTTGTCACTCCTGTGTTTACATTCAGTTCCCGAAAGCCATCAATAATTTGGCCCCAGATTTGCTCTCTAGCCTCATACTCTTGCCACATCATCAAAAACTCACCCAATTCAGGGGGACATATCACTCCTCCTAAAATTATTTTTTAAAAGATTATGCATTTCTTTTTTTTTTTTTTTAAAGATTTTATTTATTTATTCGTGACAGAGAGAGAGAGAGAGCGAGAGGCAGAGGGAGAAGCAGGCTCCCAAGGAGCAGGGAGCCCAATGCGGGACTCAATCCGAGGGCCCTGGGATCATGACCTGAGCTGAAGGCAGACGCCTAACCATCTGAGCCACCCAGGCGCCCAAGATTATGCATTTCTATGTCTTCATGACTGCACATTCTGATTGTTCTTTCTGGAATGCTTTCTTCAACATTTTCACTGATGTTTTTCTAATTCTTCCTTTAAGGCTAAGCTTATTTGCAACCTGGTGATCTTTAACTGTCCCTAATTCCCTGAGGAAATCTAAGTTAAGGATCTCTCTTCGCTGTTTACATAACATCCAGTTTTTCTATCACAGCGATAATTAATAAATTGACAACTAACTCTAGTCATAAGTAAAAGCTAAGTAGTCCAGGAACTCACAAGATAGAATGTTTTCTTCAAGGTCAAGTACTCAGTAAAATAAAACCCTTGAAAAATGGCAAGAATTGCCAGAAATTAAGTAAGGTATCTAATATGATGGTTCAATGGTATATTTGATGGTTTAAATATATTGATCGCTTTGAAATACTTAGGTTGTCAGTGAACTTTGTTCAAATAAACTAAACATTTTTCCTCACTTCCCTTCAATATTAAATAATTTTATATTTAAAAGTCTCCCTACCCAGTGCTCACTTTGGCAGCACATATACTAAAATTGGAATGATGGAAGGAAGATTAGCGTGGCATCTGCACAAAGATCACATGAAAATTGGTGAAAAATCTCCCCACCCAGATTTCAATTTACAGTATATTCGAAAGTATATAATTGAAGGACAAGAAAATTCTTGATATTTATGTGTTCCAAAGCATCACATGTAACCAAACATGGTGGCAATATTTATCTTCTTTTATTTAAAACGTTCTTTTTGGAGGTGCCTGGATGTCTCAGTAGGTTAGGTGTCTGCCTTCAGTTCAGGTCATGATCCCATGGTCCTGGGATTGAGCCCCCACATCAGGCTCCCTGCTCAGTCGGGAGTCTGCTTCTCCCTCTCCCTCTCCCTCTGTTTCTCACCCAACTCATGCTTTCTCTCTCTCTCATAAACAAATAAAATCTTAAAAAAAAAAAGTTCTTTTGAGGAGATGACATAGTAGGGGATGATGAAATTATCCAGAATGGTTTCTATGAGACTTTACTTTAGCATAAAGTCTTGATAACTTGTTATTTTTCCTTTAGATAAGAGAGATTTACTTTTAATATAAAAATTCTGATTTTCTTGAAGTATCCTGAATAATAGAACTTACACACTGGATGTAAAAGACTAATGCCTCCCTTCCATGATATATAATCTGTCATAAGAAGTGATTTACTTGCTTATTATTTTGATATTAAGTATCAATTTATAAGATATTTCTATGTTTGTCATGACATGATTGATTTTTAAAAATTTTATAGATGTGTTATCCATTCACATTTCTTCATCTAATACACTCTTTGAGAATCTCATCCTTGATGAGCTTTCCATACATGCTTATTTTACATTTATTTTCCTTGTTATCTCAGTATCTTGAGTCATAAAAGTATGCATAATGGGAATAATTACTCTTACGCTTATGTGTCCTTTATTTCACAGTGCATTTAAAAGACCCAGTCTATAAAAGATTGACTTCCTTTTTCTCTGAAATAACTACCAATTCAAGGTGTTTATTGGTGGCAGCATGGTCCATTAACACAATCCCCCAAGACTTGCACTGCTATGATGAACAGATTCTGCTACGGAAGAAACGTCCCAGGCAATAAAAATATAATTTCTTTTCAGAGTCATTACCCTCAGCAATTAAAGCTTTTAAAAGTAGAAAACTCATATTTTCAATTTTTTTCACTAGGTGATCAGATTTTTAAAAAATAGTGTATAAATAAGGAAGTTATAGTTGGATATTTTACTCTTACAAATTAGTTCCTAAACTGATTTACACTTTGAAGTTACTCTGAGTTACTAAAGTAATCCTGGTCCTTTAAGAGTAACTCTAGTGTAAAAATTTGCAGTTTTAAATGCTTGTTTTATAATTTTATTTATTTTTTTAAAGATTTTATTTATTTATTTGACAGAGACACAGCGAGAGAGGGAACACAAGCAGGGGGAGTGGGAGAGGGAGAAGCAGGCTTCCAGCAGAGCAGGGATCCCGATGTGGGGCTCGATCCCAGGACCCCAGGATCATGACCTGAGCCAAAGGCAGATGCTTAATGACTGAGCCACCCAGGCACCCCAGTTGTTTTATAATTTTAAAAACTCATTTGTGACTTCTGTTGCTAGTAGTATATAAAATTGGTATCTTGGAATAACTGCCATTTGGAAAAACTAAAGTTCTTTGTATTAATTGCTGAGAAGTCACAAAAGTAAAGATCAGATAAGAGTTCAAAAAAGGATATTAAAGGAGGAGTCCTGGGAGAACTTGAGCTTTTGACACAATGGTTGTCTGGGGTGCAATGAATCAAGATAAAGCCTGGGTTCTGTCCAAGACGGAATCCAGCAAAAGACCCTCCTGTTCCCACAACATACGTGTGCACACATGCTCAACACTGTGATCAGTTTGGGCCATACAATCAATGCAGATGTGAACAAGAAATAAACTCTCTTGAAGTAGGGGACAATAATGAAACCTGCCTATCTTGATGTTTTAGTACTTAGGAGAAGGAGGAAAGAAGTTCCTCTGGAGAATATATAATACCTCATGGACATCATTTGCTTTTTGTAGTTCAGATTGTCCTACTTTGGAGCAAAAATATACAAACAAAGAAAAAGTCTACAAACCAAAGAAAAATTTAAAAAATAATCCATCTCATCAAGGTGAGAATCTAATTACAGTCTTCCTAGTCAGTATGATTCTTGAATAATCAACAGATATAAAGACAAATCCTTTTTGAAAGAATGTAACTTACGCTCAGTGTAAGTTGGATTCTCCATTCGATAAAGTTCCAAGGAAAAAACACTTGAAATTAAAAAAAAATCGTAAACGTGTAGAATATAATGCACCAAACATGAAGGTGAGGGGAAAAAAAAGGTAATAGGTTGAGACATACAAAGGCTTTATATTTTAGAACACAAAACTCATATTTTAATATGTGTAATGCTAAAAAGTTTTAAAATTTTTAAAATTTCAAGTAAGGATGAGAAAACTACATGTAAAGGATCAAATAATTAGAAAAAATTTGAAATACTTAAAAATAAAATATAATAGTTGACTGAATATATGATTGGTGGATTAAAGTGGAAGTTGAATTATGCAATTAAATACTACACAGTTAAAATAAAAGCATGTAAAGGATGGATTATATTATACATAGCAGATTGGACAAAATGAATAGAAAATTGGTGGACCAAAAGTAGGGGTGGGAGGGCAGGGAAATCTGAAGAACTTATTTAATATGTCACTAAGAGAGAGAGAAAAAAGAGCTGTCAATATGAATGCTAATATGAAAAAGATCACAAAATGGAAAATAGAATGATAAGATCCAACAGAAAACTTATATAAAAAATAAAAATGAGAATGGAGAATCCAAAAATATTTGAAGATATAATGGATAACAATTTTACAGGATTATTCAAAGAATTTTACCAAATTCCAACAGGATAAATAATAGTAACTTAACACATAGATAATCTTTGGAAACTAAACAATATGAAGAAAATGAGAAAATATTAAAATAGAGGGAAAAATGATCTGTAATAGTCTCAGCAAAACACAAAATATAGTTATCTTCTGCTTCTAAGTCGCACACCTAAATTTAAGACTGATTTATGTTTAAATTATAAAATACAAATTAGAATTCCCCTGCAAATACAAGCAAAAAACTGATGTAATTATACAATTTCAGACAGGTAGATTTTAAAAGAAAAACATTTTGAGGTTAAAAAATGTAATGGAGTAATAAAAACTCAGTGTATGAGGGAGATGTAATAGCTCTAAATGTATATGTAAAAATAACACCTTCAAAGATATAAAGCGTATTTTATAGCTCTTTCATATGAGAAATTGATAAATATACCAACATATAACAAGAGACTTAAAAATACCTTCATAAGGTATTGGTAGATACTCAAAACAAAAACAACAAAAAAATGACTGCTCTGTATACTATGTTTAAGGAATATCATTTACAAACTTTATATCTAGACATGTGTCCACTAAAACATATATTTTTAAGTACACATAGGACATTTATAAAAATTGACCTGTATGCTAAGCCATAAAAATGAGCTTAAAATTTTCAAATAATTAATGTTATTTGTGTCCATGCTACAATCATGTAAGAATTTAAATAAATAAATAAATATGTACATAAATAAATAAATAACCACCCAACCAACCCTTAGTCATCTATTCTAAACAATATTTCTAGCACCAGCCAAAAATTATAAAGTACACAGAAGGATAAGAAAAAAAGTCTGAGGAGACAAAGCAAGTCTAAGAGTTAGACTCAGATATGATACTGATGTTGGAAAGATCAGACAAGAAATTTGAAGTATTTCTGACTAGTATTTTAGAGGTTCTAACGGAAAAAGTAGACAAAATGCAAAATCAGATAGTTTCAGAAAGAAATGGATGTTATCAAAAAAGAATTTTAAAATGATAGAAACCAGAAGAACCGTAAGAGGAATAAACAATGCCTTTAGTGTTCTTATCTGTACTGTGGACAAACCTGATGAAATTATCAGTGTTTTGAAGATATGTCAACAGAAAATAAAAATTATAACTTTTACATTTAAAACTTTGAGATAAACTGACATGAATTTTTGGCATTTTTATGTGTCTTTGACATCTTCGTTCATAATGTCAATAGTGATTCTAATAAGAAATCACAAACATATTTTCTTGTTGGCATATTTTATTATTTTAAATGAAATGAAGTACAATTTCCTCCAGAATATGAGCTGAAACAAGTTTGAAAAAATGTAGTTTCCCTGAAGCTCAATTAAATCAGCAGTATTGTTAAGCTTGGCAATATACGGAGGAATATCTAGTTTAACTTTACTGGGAGTGAGCTTCATGGCTATAAATAATCACTAGGATGCATTTTCATCAAAACTTCATTAGGGTCTTTTCATAATTATGGCTATAATTTATTACCATCCATTCAAATTATGTTCCTGGGCATACAATCAGGTGGTTTTTATATTGTATCTTATTTTAACTCTCAACAAATAGAAAACATAGATTTTAAATCTTCATTTTTGAGAAGAGCACTTGCAGCTGCAAGTAGCCAGGCCAGGATTTGATAGTTGTCTGAGAGTTTGATAACTATTTCCCTAACAATCCTGCCAAGACAGTAATAATATGAAAGTAGTCTAAGTAATGAACTACAGTATGTTAGTTAATTTTATCATTATTTTTGTCAAAGTTCTAGTCAAGACAATTGTAATAAATGAATTGGCTGTGTGTCTGTTATGTTTAATCAACACACATAGATTTGGTTAAAATTAGAATGAGCTAATTGTACTCTTTTTCATTAGAAAAGAATATATCATTATGGGAAAGGGATTATGAGGGAAGATTTAAAAAAAAGTGAGCAACAGACAATTGGTAGTTACAAAGTTAGAAAATAAGTGAGACATAGCTACAGAAAGCAAGTCAAATATTAGAAGTAATCACTTTAATGATGCAATAAAGTGCATCGTTTATCATTTAACATGAACAGTGGCAGAAGAAATTTTTTTTTAATTTTCTAAAAATATCTAGAAATTGAAGCTAATTACTAGGCATTTGCTTATATTTTTTAGTAATTCACCTATAAAAATGA